TCATATGATACATGTCTTTCTCTGATTGACTTATTTTGCTTAGCATAATACCCTTTAGTTCCGTCCACGTCATTGCAGATGGCAAGATTTTGTTTTTGTTTTTGTTTTTGTTTTGATGGCTGCATAATATTCCATTGGATATATACACCACATCTTCTTTATCTATTCATCTGTTGATGGACATCTTGGCTCTTTCCATAGTTTGGCTATTGTGGACATTGCAGCTATAAACATTGGGGTACACGTACCCCTTTGGATCCCTACATTTGCATCTTTGGGGTAAACACCCAGTAGTGCAATTGCTGGGTCGTACGGTAGCTCTATTTTCAGCTTTTTTGAGGAACCTCCATACTGTTTTCCAGAGTGGCTGCACCAGCTTGCATTCCCACCAACAGTGTAGGAGGGTTCCCCTTTCTCTGCATCCCCACCAACATCTGTCGTTTCCTGACTTGTTAATTTTAGCCATTCTGACTGGTGTGAGGTGGTAACTCATTGAGGTTTTGATTTGGATTTCCCTGATGCCGAGCGGTGTTGAGCACTTTTTCATGTGTCTGTTGGCCATTTGGATGCCTTCTTTGGAAAAATGGCTGTTCATGTCTTCTGCCCATTTCTTGATTGGATTATTTGTTCTTTGGGTGTTGAGTTTGAGAAGTTTTTTATAGATTTTGGATACTAGCCCTTTATCTGATATGTCATTTACAAATATCTTCTCCCATTCTGTCGGTTGCCTTTTGGTTTTATCGACTGTTTCCTTTGCTGTGCAAAAGCTTTTTATCTTGATGACGTCCCAAGAGTTCATTTTTGCCCTTGCTTCCCTTGCCTTTGGCGATGTTTCTAGGAAGAAGTTGCTGCAGCTGAATGAAACTGGACCATTTCCTTACACCACACACAAAAATAGACTCCAAATGGATGAAAGACCTAAACGTGAGACAGGAGTCCATCAACATCCTAGAGGAGAACACAGGCAGCAACCTCTTTGACCTCAGCTGCAGCAACTTCTTGCTAAAAAGTAAGGGCTTTTGAGCAGCGGTGACAACACAGGGGACCTGTGTGAGGTTAATTATCAGTTAATTAATATTAATTAATTAATATTAGTTAATTATTATTCTTAATTATTTTCTTTTAAAAAAGACCCGTGTTCCAAATGTGCTGACCTTTTCTGTGATGCTAAGTGGCTGATATTGGTAGCACCCCTAGCAAGTATTTTTTTTTTAAATGCCCAGTTGACTGATTGCCTTCAGGTAAAGGTGCGTTTTTTTATCTATGAATGTGCAATCAACTGATTTTGGAGGATTGTAAAGTGATCATTTGAGAACACCCATTGGCATGTTTTTCCATCTTCATATGATTTCATTACTAGAAAAAGTTGTTAAAACTCTCACATTTGGGCACTTAAAAAACTTGCAAATATAATTTTCCTAAACTTCACAAAAATCTTCCAAAAAGAAAAGATTTGGTGGGTTTCTAACTGTTCAAGCTGAAAGTACACATTGAAAAATCTGGGTTTGCAAAAGCCAATGATTTTCAAGAGGATAAATAGATTTTGAATATTTAGATTTCAACCAGAAATCTTTGTACACTTAGTATGTGAATGAAAATCAAGTGTCAGGGTTTAGTCAGTAGAACCAATGATGATGACTTTATTCTATTTCATTTATTTTTTTTAAAGATTTATTTATTTGACAGAGAGAGACACAGCGAGAGAGGGAACACAAGCAGGGGGAGGGGGAGAGGGAGAAGCAGGCTTCCCTCTGAGCAGGGAGCCCGATGCACGGCTGATCCCAAGACCCTGAGATCACGACCTGAGCGGAAGGCATTCGCTTAACGACTGAGCCACCCAGGCGCACCACTTTATTCTATTTTAATCAACCCATTTCCTGGGAAGCATTTCCTTGTGACAGCTATCAATCCAAGTTTAGAAATAAACCGAGCTTAAAAACAGGTCTTTAAATTACTGTATTTCAAAACATTAAATTAAGGTTAAAGCAAACATATTCCATCACGTTGATCTCATTAAGTTTCGAAATAATTGAGTGCAAAAAATGTGTATTTCTAATCAATTTTTTTCTCATTCTTGGAAATTTTTATGTTTTTATAGCGTTTATCATATGTTAGTATTTAGTATATTAGCACCTCTAAATATGAATACTGATACCAGAGATCGTGCTCAACAATCGTTTGGATGGGTGTCCTACCAAAACAGCTTGGAAGCCACTAGCTTTAAGAACCTTGAACCTCTGCTCTTGCTTTTACTTAATTTCCAAAGTGAAGTCCCAGTTTTGAAACCGCCCTTGCACACACACACACACCAAACAAGAATACTGCGCGCCCTAACCCAGGAAAACAAACCAGTCGCCTGCGGGAGGCATTCCGCCGACACCCTCAGAGGTCCGCGGCCCCAGCCTCCCCCACGAAGCCACGCGCACGCACGCCGGGTCAGGAGGACTGCGGGGGAGGCTCGGGCTCCTCCCGCCGACACACAGGGGTGCCGAGCGATCCCCGACGGCTCTGAGTCAGCCGCCGGAAGCCTCGCCCGGGATCGCAGCTGCGGGGAAGCAGGCAGCAAGCTGGAGGAACAGCCGCCGCCGCAGGAGCAGGAATCTCCCGGGTACCGGGGCTGGGAAGCGCGCGGGTCGCCAGCTACTCGGGGCGGGCGTCCCCCGCCGGGAGCGCGGCGGCGCGCGGGACACGGGCGGGGAGGGAGGCCGGCAGGAGGCGGACGCAGCGCGCCGACAGGGAGGAAGAGAGGACGGCGGGGGGAGGCTGTTGGCTGGGGGGTGATCGGACCGGACAGCGGCGGGGCCGCGGCGGGCGGCTCTAAGGTGGGGGCTGGCGGGGTCAGCCGAGGCAGCCAGCGCAGGAGCGGGGGCGCGGACTCGCCCTGGGGCCGAGGGGGAGGGACACGGCGGCCCGCCGACGCCACCGCGCCGCGATCTGCGAGCCGGAGGGAGAGGCCGGTCACCCAAGCCCGGGCTGCTGTTGCCGGAGACTGCCAGGCGGAAGCTCTGGGGAGGGTGCGTGGGAGCAGCCGCGGGTGCAGCAGGGAGACCGGCGCGCCCGGAGCAGCCTCGCCTGCAATGTCCAGGGCGCCTTGGGCAAGTTCCGGGGAGGTGCTGGGTCAGCGCCCCCCCCCGCGGGGAGGCCGGTAGGCTCCGAGGCCCCTCCCTCTGCCTCCTCCTTCCCTCCCAGGCTTCCCCTTCCTTCCTGTATCCTGTTTTTCTTCCATATTCTTTGCTTTTCTTTCTTTATTCTTTCTTTCACATCTTTCACCTGCTCTTCATTGGCTGCTTTTCCTGAGCTTGAGAAAATGCTTCCTTGCCTGTTTCCACCTCGTCCGCGGCCACAGTAATTAATTTAATGGACTCCCCACTTCCCAGATTCTCTTCAGCTCCTGCTCCCGCCCCTTGGCCAGGCTGTTTCGGGGCGCGGCGGGGGTGCTGCTGCTTGCCGCCGCCGGTGCTCCCCGCCAGTCCTCCTCCTCCAGCCTCGGGCTGCCCTGGGGTCCTGCCCTTGTCTTCTTCCTCTTCCTACCTGCAAATACCGGGAATTCTTAAAAACTAGGTGAGTTTCTCTTCTTACGCCTCTGTGTACCTTGTAATCATCCCGTTTGCCTAGGATCTCCCGCAGTCTGGGTGCTAAGGGCCCCCAATCTCTTGCTCTGGGACTTGTGCTCGACTCAGTAACCTGCCTGTATTTCCAAACATCGCTTGGCTGCCTTGTTACAGGGACCCAGGGACCATACCATAGTCTGCACATCTCAAATGGAATGTATCACTTCCTCATTCCATCTGGCTCCTCATAGAAACTTCCAATGGGTCACACCTGCCTCAAGCATCAGTGAGCTAGGAGTCTGTTAAGAGGTAAACTGAGGCATATTAAAAAGTTCAGTTCATTGGAGCACAGATGAATTCGAATGGGGCAGCATCCAGTCTAGCAGGCAGAAAGAGCTGTACAGAAGCAGACTTCTAAGCAGAAGGGAGTGGTAACAAGGAAGCTATACTGGCCAAACAGAGGGTTGGTTGTTGCAAAATTACTTCCCTTTGGTGGATGGCAGGGGTCTGGCAGGCGGTTGACCTCACTAGGGCTGGTCAGGCCGTTCCTGATTGACTGGTTTAAGATTCCATTTCGGGGAGAGCCGAAACTGTCACTCAGTTAAGGCTCTGCATCTGGGGCTGAGCATAAGCAACTCCATCTGGGGCCTGGTGTCTTGTTTTTAACCAGCCTCCGCGTCCTCCCTGACTCTCCTTGCTCCCTGTCCCTCCTGTGATGGGTCACCCCGCCGCCGGGCAATGCCACCTTGCACTCGGTTCCTGCTTCCTCCCTGTCTGGCAGCCGCCGAGCTATGGCGGCCAGCAGGCTCCCCGGCCTTTTTCCAGGCTCCGTGGAGAGCCACTGCGTTTCCTAAAACCCAGTGTGCTCCTATAGAACATTTTGTTTAAAAATCATAGCTGCCTTTCCGGACCATAGCTCAAGTTCAGACTTCTTGTCCAAGTGCATCCGTGTCACCCAAGCACAGAGACCCAGCCCCTCCGCCCCACACAGACCTGCGCCACCTGCCACGGTAGGTCTGTCTCCTGCCAATCCCACCACTGCCCCGGGGCACTCACCTCCCCTTTCACCGCCTCACACACACTCCTGCCCAATGCGTGAAAGCCAGCTCGCCCCTCACCTTCTCCTGAGCTTCTAGAGAGAATTTATTCCGTTTCTCTGGGGGCTTCCTTAGCACTTTGTAAATTATCCGGTTACAGAGGGTGGGGCTGGCTTGAAACCCACACACTTGTGTTTGTGTCCCCCTCGGGTGGGAGTGCCCCATCAGGAATTATGGCCTTTATTGTTCATTTCTTCTCTAACCCATATAAGGAAAGTTCTATAATAAATGCTCTTTGTATAAGTTCACTTCTGGAGGTGTCCGTGGGAAGGCAGAGTGGAGCGGGGAGACCACAGGCATTCGGGGGCCCCAGGAGGAGAGCAGTGTCTCATCCTTGGAAGCACAAGGCTTCTGCTTCAAGACTCCACTTCAAGACTGCTGCTCTTACTATGAGACCCGAGGACAGGCTTTCATTGTCCTGACCTCATTCACCAGTAAAAGAAAAACTAGCGTAATGCCAATTCATTTTATAGGCTGGAAATCAAACCTTTCCACATTGTTGTGTTTTTATGACACAGTGGAATGGTGCCCTGGTACCCAGATGTATTGTTTCGTATTATATTGAAATTCAGTCCTTTTATTTTTTAAAGATTTTATTTATTTGAGATGGAGCAAGCCAGACAAAGCGAGAGAGAGCACAAGCAGGGGGGAGGCGGAGGGAGAGGGAGAAGCAGACTCCCTGCTGAACAGGGAACCCGACGCACGGCCAGGACCCTGGGATCTGAGCCGAAGGCAGATGCTTAACTGACTGAGCTACCCGGGCGCCCCGAAATTCATTTCTTTTTAGATTTATTGGGCAAGTTCCACTTTGTTTCAAGTACAACCCTCTCAAAAGCTTAATGTACACATGAGATTGGGGCACCAAGAAGAAGTGGGGGAAAGAGAGTCATTCGGTTATCCTGTTCAGCTCCTTTGTCTTCACGGGTGTGACTTGGGACACACCCCCGAGGTGCCGGAGTGGTGAGTGTGTGCCAGGGTGTCCTTGCTAGGGGGCAGACGCTGGTGGGAAATGCCGTGACCAGCACCTGCCCATGTGGAAATGAATTGAAGGAAGAGGAAAGGTGGAAGAAACCAGAAGTAGGCATTTGACATATGTCCCTCACCTCCAGGTTAGTGAATTCTCTCCTCCTCTGGGTCTCTTTGGTGCCACCTTGTGGTAGGCCGAGTGCCGTGCAGATTGCGTCTCCCCCTGGCTCCTAGTTTATTTTCTGAAAAGTCCTCCACTGCAAGGCAAGGAAATGTGGGGGGCAATGTGGGGCCGGAGGTGGCCTGCAGACAGGCTGGATGCTGCTCTCTCTCGTGGGACTTGTCCACTGCAGACGCATCGGCTGTCCCACACCTGCAGCTCTTGGGTTCAAGCCCTGCAGTGGAAGGCTCTGGCGAGGCTTCTGTGGGTGAGGACAGTGAGAAACTTTCCTTTTTGTCCTCTAAGAAATAACCTGTCAAGTATAGCATCCTGCTGTGCAAGCTTTGTCATCATTGTATTCTCTTGTTTAATGTATGTTTGTTTGTTTATTTATTTTTAAAAGATGTACCCATTTATTTATTTGAGAGAGAGAGAGAGCATGAGCAGGAGAAGGGGCAGAAGGAGAGGGAGAGAGAGAATCCAGAAGCAGACTCACTTCTGAGCAGAGCCTGACACGACCACGTGGGGCTCAATCCCAGCACCCCGAGATCATGACCTGGGCTGAAACCAAGAGTCTGCTGCTTAACCTACTGAGCCCTCACATGCCCCTTGGTTGATGTTTTATTTTTATTTTTATTTATTTATTTATTTATTTTTAAAGATTTTATTTATTTATTTGACAGAGAGAGACACAGTGAGAGCAGGATCACAAGCAGGGGGAGTGGGAGAAGGAGAAGCAGGCTTCCCGCCGAGCAGGGAGCCCGATGCGGGGCTCGATCCCAGGACCCTGAGCCGAAGGCAGACACTTAACGACTGAGCCACCCAGGCGCCCCTTGGTTGATGTTTTAAATCATTTCTTTTAAACCTGAATTTGCACTGGTTGTAGCTGTTGGAGAATCTGTATTTAGAGTGCAGCCTTTATACTTGTTTGACATCACACTTTTTTTTTCTTCCTAAATCAGAGACATCTTATGTCTTCTGTTGAAAAAAATATCTCAGGAAGGAGCTTTCAAGGAACCAGTCAACCATTGGAGAGGCTCTGGTTGAGTTGTCTCCCTGTCCTCTTCCCACCCACTGAGCTCCTCTTTCCTCTCCTGCCCCTGAGAAATCCAGGAGCCCCCCCCCACCCCCGCCAGGCTAATGAGATACAGTTGCAAGAAGGCTGCAGGAGGTGCTGCTCGTCTTCTGTGAAACTGACAGAAGAAGTATCACGTGATGATCCACTGGTTGATAAAAATGAACATAATGCATGATGACCCTTATTCTAGGCGAAGATTCCAGTACTTTTGGTATTGCTTATTTGCTGATTTTCCAAACTGGAATCTGTTTTTCTTGTGTAGCTTTAAAATTTTTGAGTTAAAAATATATTTGCAAATAGAGAAAAAAAAAAAAGGATAGCTTGCAGGGTCATGGGATTATGGGTGACTATTTGTCCTTTTATTTTCTAGAATGTTTTCGAGTGGAGCAGCACAGAGACTCAGGGAAACCAGTGTCTTAGTTCCCTGTTGCTGCTGTAGCATCTTACTGCAAATTGAGTGCCCGAACACAGTAAAAATGTATTATCTTATGGTTCTGGAGGTCAGAAGTCCAAAGTAGGTTTTGCACAGTTGCATGTTTTTCTGGAGGCTTTAGGGCAGAATCTGTTTCCTTGCCTTTTGCAGCTCCCAGAGGCTGTCTGCATTCCTTGGTCCATGGCCTTGCATCATTTTGACCTTTCCTTCTCTTGTCACATCTCCTTCTCTGACTCTGAGCCTCCTGCCTTCCTCTTATAAGGACCCAGTGATTACACTGAGCCCACCTGGATACTGCAGGAAATCTCCCCATCTCAAGATCCTTAATTCAGTCAGTCACATCTGCAAGGTCCCTGATGCCGAGCAAGATAACGGAGGTTTGGGAGATTCAACGTGGGTGTCTGGGGGGGAGCAGTTATTCTTGTGAGCACCCCCGGCATCCACCGACGGGTGCTAATGGCCAGATGACGTGACAGTGGGCGTGGCTAATGTGCCTCCGTGTTGTGCTTTCCATACAGACCTTCCCTGATGGAGGATCTCCATGAAGCAAATGGCAGGTTTGCCATCAACTTATTAAAAATGTTGGGTGAAGAGGACAGCTCCCGAAATGTGTTCTTCTCCCCTCTGAGCATCTCTTCTGCCCTGGCCATGGTCTTCATGGGGGCCAAAGGAAACACCGCCACCCAGATGTCCCAGGTATGCATGCTAGCATTCTGTCCCACAAGAAGTCCCCAGATTTCACCTTTGTTACATTTTAAGTTTTGGCTAACGTTATATATCAAATTGAAATGCAGCTGTTTGAATGGACTTGCTGTTAAATGGGTTCTTTCTAGTGTATGATTATGCACTAGAAGAAAGCAGCACAAATGTGGACTTCGGTCTCTGGAATTATTGAGAGGGAATGTATAATCTGATTGATCTGAAACGGGTTCTGTGGGACCTGAGCTACAAATGAAGTAGTGGCAAATACTTTAGGGAAGTTGTCTTTAACCTCTTTGTTATCTTAAGTTTCTTTGACAGTCTTGTGAGTGTCCCAGGACATTGCCAATGCACATGACCTCCCCATCGATAGCAGGGGTGCGTGGGAGCCCTCTGGAAGTGCCTCTGGCGGTGGTTTCTTCCAGCTTGCTGGAGGAGGGAGGCTTTGGACTGGGGCCATTGGGAGACAGAGGAACAACCTTAATTTCCGCTCTGACTTGACATGGAAGTCCCAGTCTGGTCTGCAGAACTTCTATGAAATTGCTGCTGAAGTATTTTCGGTTGATTTCTGCTCATTCTCGTATTCCCTAGGTTGTGTTAGATTCATTCCAGCTACCTCTTTGCTCTGTTCTGTCTCTCTCCTGAGTTCTCACACCCGCCTTTCTAAGTGGGTTTACACCTGGGGGCGACATTGGCCACTGTCCCCACAGCTTGGTTGTCTGAGAGGTGCTACTGACATCTAGTGGGCAGAGGCCAGAAATGCTGCAAAATGTCTTAGAAGGCGCAGACTAGCGCCAGCCGCAAAGTGGCCCCAAATGTCAACAGTGTCCCGTGGAAAGGCGCTGTGGGAGGGTTAAACCAAAAGCCTTTCAAGATGGGATCCTTTGTGATTTTCAGCACAGGGGTGGTTGGAGATAGCTCTTTGTGGGAGCAAGATGGCAGTGTTACAAGTCCGTGTCCTTGTCTGTTTTCAGGCGCTTTGTTTGAACAGAGGCGGAGATATTCACCAAGGTTTCCGGTCACTTCTCACGGAGGTTAACAAATCTGGCACTCAGTACTTGCTCAGAACTGCCAACAGACTCTTTGGAGAGAAGACGTGTGATTTCCTTCCTGTAAGTGGAACTCGCGCATGGATGTTAAAAAAATGGCAAATAAGGTTGAAACTGCAGAAGAACAGAGATTAAAGTATAATTCTGTTGCCTTAAAAATGTACTTAGAGTTGTACTTCTGTAATTATGATTTTGAATTTTATGATTGCCTCTGAATTATGTCTCTTTTTAAAGCTGGTTTTTGTTTTTTGTTTTTTTTTTTAAGATTTTATTTATTTGAGACAGAGAGAAAGAGCGCACAAGTGGGGAGGAGGGCCGGAGGGAGAGGGAGAAGCAGATTCCCCGCCAAGCAGGGAGCCCAATGTGGGGCTCGATCCCAGGACCCTGAGATCATGACCTGAGCCCAAGACCGACGCTTAACTGACTGAGCCACCCAGGCGCCCTTAAAGTTGTTTTTGATAGATCCCTCCCAGATATCAATCTCAGTATGTCCTTCTTCCTGCATCCAGACCTGCCTCTCCCCCTTGATCCGCTGTGCCTCAGTGACCACATCGTCCCATGTGTGTACATGGCTGTCCCCAGGCTCACCTCTGTTTGTTGGGCAGTTCCTGCAGAGCCCGTCTCTCAAGGCCTCTTAAATTTGTCCCCTCTTCTGAATCACCACCACCACTGCCTGGGTCCACACTCTCACCGATCTTCTGCACCATTATTTTAATTCTTTCCTGATGGATCTCTCCAAGTCCAGCCAGGTTCTTGCACACTACTGACAGAATAGTCTCTTGAAAATTAAACTTGGGCCATAAAACTGAGGTTTTAAATCTGTGCACTTCCTATGTACCGAAGCATATAATTCTCAAGGTCCCCAGTCCAGTAAAAGCCTGCCATCACGCAACAAGTGAGGGCCGAAAAAGTATGTTGCACACCATGCAGAGTGTTGCTACCTCAGATTAATGAAGGGATCTGGGCAAACCCGGCCATCTTCCTGGCTGGCAGTTCCAAGGATTTTTCTGTGAGATTCAGATACATCCCTCTCCTGGCTGCTGTTGGGTGTGACCCCATGGAGGTCGCCTGCTCTGGGCTTGAGTATCACTGGAGATAATCCTGGGTCTTCTAGGATGAGCACCAATGATCCCAGGAATCTTCCGGTTAACTGATGTTCATTTTTGAACATCAGCCTGATCTTTGAGGTTTGCCATTGGGGGGGTATTGGGGACACAAGGAGCCACCTTCCCATTTTCTCAGTTGCTTGGCTCCTCTTTCTGTCTACATTTTCTCTCTTCTGTAGAAGCTAAAATATTTGAGAACAGGAGATGGGCGGAGGATGGGAGCCAATTGCCAGGCACATTATATCTGACACCAAGTGTTTGTGAGGTGAGTTATCTTTGGGTTTTCATGTATTGGGTGCAGGCACTTCCTGACTTGACCCCAACTGACATTCCAAGGCTCACCCCTTCCACTGTTTTTCCTGATCCGCCCCCCCCGCGAGGACAGCGCCCCCAGGCCTGTCACATTCCGCTCCTGGGGGGACCCGTAGGATTTCTGGATCATCTGGTTCCACTAGGGAGCCGCTCTCTCATTCACAAAGCTCAGACATTGGGGTTGGTGGTGGTGATACAAAAACGGGTCAAAGCCGGAGTCCCTGGCAGGCAGGCAGACAGACAGAAAATCAAACAGGAAGTCGGCGCGGAGCGGAAGTGTTTGACAGGGAGGCCCGGGGCGGTTCTGCGCATGCCCGCCAGCCACCGGCCGCGTTCTGGAAGCTGTGAGCTCTCGGGTCCCTGCGCGGCTTCTCGCAGCTTCTCCCCGCAGACCGTGAGCTGCCTCGGGCCGGCGTCGCGGCGTCAGCCCCCGGGCTGCGGGCGATGCGGTTTTTGTCAGTTGCGCGGATGCGTCTTCAAGTGCAGGATGCCCCGTGCGGGCAAGAGTTCGCGCTGGGAATAGGTTCAGAGGAAAAAAAAAAAGTTTCTCACTGGTGCGAACTTCGAGGGCACACTCGGTATCTTGTGTTCGTAGGCCTTTAGGGAATCCTGCCAGAAGTTCTACGAGGCCGAGCTGGAAGAGCTGTCCTTTGCTGCAGACACGGAAGAATGCCGGAGACACATAAACGACTGGGTGACGGAGAGGACGGAGGGTGAGGCGTGTTCACTGCCTAGACTCGGCACGTGGAAGGGGGGACAGCCGGGGGACAGCCGAGATCGCGGGGGCGTGGCCTCCAACGTGTCCCCTCGGGCCCTGTAGCCAGTGGCCTGTTGGTGTGTGTTTGCTGGATTTCTAGGCCAGCAGCGCAATTCGCTTCTTTTTCTCGGGTTTATGAGGTCACCGAGTGGTGATTTCTAAAAACTCCGTAAACCTAGTGTAAGGATCTCAGACCCACTCCCCTCCCGACTGTGCTGGAAAATCCCCGAAAAAGGCTTGCTGTTTGGGGGCCCATCAGTCTTCTCTCCGAGGGGAGGGAGTTGGGGTGGGGGAGCCCTCATCATTCAGTTTAGGCTGCGGCCGACTGAGACACTGGGCAACAGTTCCCCTTATCTCCGTGTATAAGTGGTGATGAGGACAGCTGGTTTTATCTGCAGGCCTCTCCTTCCTTTGTCCTGGGGCTGAGGCTGAGTTTGCATTCAGAGCGTGATCTTTGCCCCAGATTCTGGAAATGCAGTTCCCGCGGAGCCTAAGGCCTCCCCTGTCCAGACCACGCTCGGTCTTACCAGGAATATTTCCGCCAGTGCTTGACTAGAGTACAGAGAAGGGCATGCTTTCAAGCACTCGAAGTACCTAACACAATTGAGAGACTTCCAGAAGTATGTGTGGGGGGGGGCAGGGAGGGAGTTAAATGACTTATTTCTTCTGTGCCCACCTAGCGCGCTTTAGGGTGCACCTGCTGTGTGTCCGGCAGCGGCAGGGCCCACGATTATACTGAAAGCCAATAAAATAATGGCTGTTGGCAGGGCAGAGCCTTTCACGTTTTCCTACGTTGTATGTGCAGTAGTCTCTTGTTCTCCAGGCGATCCAGCAGTACTGGGTCACTCAGGGAAGCCAGAAGCTTCTCTCTACATCACCCTCCCTACATCACTCACTTCCTCTTCATCAGATTGACTGCCAGCATGTTTCCCCCAAATATCAGAGCCGTAGGGAATATTGGGGATCACCTTGTCCCCAGTCTCATTGGAGAACTCAGTCTGGGTCCCTTTATTGTACCCCTGAATTCCTTCCCCCATTCTCTGCCTTCAGGAGGACTGCCTTACCCGTTTACAGGTGCGTATTCCTTCATCCTTCAGAAGCTTCTCCTCACCTAAATGAGATCTGAAGGTTGGCGTGGAGCAATGATTCTCCGCCAGAATCAGCCCCTAGGTGACATTTGCCAATGGCTGAAGACATTTTGGTTGTCCCAGCTGGGGAGATGCTACTGGTGGGACATCCTACAATGCACAGGACGTTCCCCACAGCAAAGAATGATCTGGCGGGAAATGCCAGCAGCAGCGTGGTTGAAAAATCATGGCACCAAGGTTGGGCAGTTTACAATGAGAAGCAAGACTCTTGTCTCAGTTCAGCCACTTGGAACCTATGTGACCTTGGCGAAATGTCAGCCAAATGCTCTGACCTAAATTTCTACATCTATAAATTGAGGGCAAAATGAGAGTTGACCTGCCAGCTTCAAGATTGCTGTGTAGGGACGAGCAGGGTGGATATGCCACAGGGTGTGAGTGCTCGGCATTACATCCCATCACCCTGTTCCTCAGGCCTCCGGGAAGACAGGATTCCAGCCTGGTTCAACCATGCCGAGCTTCAGATGTCAGGAGCGTTGTTGTAAAAGAATGTTTATTCCTCTCCCCTCTTCCCCAGATGGCTATAAACTTCTCTGATATGCTTGGCAGGTAAGATTTCAGAGATCCTGGGTGCTGGGACAGTTGATCCGCTGACTAAGCTGGTTCTCGTGAATGCTGTCTATTTCAACGGAAAGTGGAATGAGCAGTTTGACAGAAAGTACACAAGGGGGATGCCCTTCAAAATCAACCAGGTAGGGAAATATTTTTCGGGGGTACTGCTAACTTTCTTAAGAAAGTAATGTGCTGGGAAAGATTGTGAATGAATGGAAAAAATAATGTATTTCATACTATATTTCTCAATGAATTTCACACCCCTTCTATATCTTTTATTGGAGAGGGGAAGAGAGAAGCTAAAATCATTTTTATATTGATAGTTTTGTGTTTGCATCCTATGTCAAACTGATTCTTCTCTCTTTGGCCATATTATTTGGATTGAAAGAAAATTTCTTCTAACCCTTGGTATTATGTTTGTGTTGACACTCTGTGTTTACCCAGACACGTTCTTACAATGTCAGTGCCAACTATGCCTGTAGATTGCCTTATAACTCCTAGCTATATAGTTCTGAACACAAGAAAAAAAAGGGTTAGCAGATGTTCAGGCTAACTTTGTCTTTATTTTTGGATCTTTTTAAATAATTGTATATAAGGTGTGTGAGATGATGATTTGATATAATTCACATAGAGAAATAATTGCTTTGGTCGAGCCAGTTAGCATACACTTTCCTCACGTGGTTATCATGTTACTTTTGTGATGAGAGCACCTGAAATCTACTCTCTTAGCAAATTTCCAGTATTCACTACAGTATTCATAACTGTGGTCATCATGCTGGGTGTCAGACCTCTAGACTTAAAGCCTAACTTTAACAACACTTTTGTCCCTTCACTTTTGGGTATGATGATGGTTGGCATCAGTAGCAATTAGCTTGAAATTTGGCTTCCATCAACTTGATGATAGCATATCGCACACAGATTTATTTATTTATTTAAAAGATTTTATTTATTTGACACAGAGAGAGACACAGCGAGAGAGGGAACACAAGCAGGGGGAGTGGGAGAGGGAGAAGCAGGCCTCCCGCCGAGCAGGGAGCCCGATGTGGGGCTCGATCCCAGCACCCTGGGATCACAACCTGAGCCAAAGGCAGACACTTAACCACTGAGCCACCCAGGCGCCCCTCGCACACAGATTTAAAAGTCTAGAATACATTTGATGCAAGCTTTAGAAATGGTGGACATTACAAATCCTGTCAAGGTCCTCTCTCCAAGAAAACCAAAGCCATGAAGCCAGTTATATAATTGAGCAACTTTTCAGAATAAAAATATAAGTCTCTATGGTCTATCCATCTTTTCTAACCGCATCCTTCAGCCTCCAAACCTGAATATTAGTTAATTCTCCCCTTAACTTGGATAAATAATCTTTAATTATAAGGTCCCTGGGAGTGCTCTTCTCTAATGCATCTTCTCAGAAGTGAAAAACACAACTTCTTCCAAAAATAACGTAGGGTTTTATGTCTACGTTCGTCAGTTTTATTCTCTCCCACCTGGTAATAGTTGATCTGCTGGGACAAGAGCATGTGGTATTCAATAGTAATTATGTAGGGGCGCCTGGGTGGCTCAGTTGTTAAGCGTCTGCCTTCGGCTCAGGTCATGATCCCAGGGTCCTGGGATCGAGCCC